AGACCAACATCATCCTGATACCAAAACCCGGCAGAGACCCAACGAGAAAAGAAAACTTCAGGCCAATATCCATGATGAACATAGATGCAAAAATCTTCAATAAAATATTGGCAAGCCGATTGCAACAGCAAATCAAAAAACTAATTCATCATAATCAAGTAGGATTCATCCCGGGGATGCAAGGCTGGTTCAACATACGCAAGTCTATCAACATAATTCACCACATAAACAGAACCAAAACCAAAAACCACATGATTATCTCAATTGACGCAGAGAAGGCATTTGACAAAAGTCAACAGCCCTTTATGATAAAAACCCTCAATAAACTCGGTATCGATGGAACGTATCTCAAAGTAATAAAAGCTATTTATGACAAACCAACAGCCAATATCATACTGAATGGGCAAAAACTGGAAGCATTCCCTTTGAAATCTGGCACTAGACAAGGATGCCCTCTCTCACCACTCCTATTCAATATAGTACTGGAAGTTCTAGCCAGAGCAATCAGGCAAGAAAAAGAAATAAAGGGTATTCAAATAGGAAAGGTGGAAGCCAAATTGTCTCTATTTGCAGACGACATGATAGTATACCTAGAAGACCCCATCGCCTCAGCCCAAAAACTCCTGAAACTGATAAACAACTTCAGCAAAGTCTCAGGATATAAAATCAATGTGCAAAAATCACAAGCATTCGTCTACACCAATAACAGACTTAAAGAAAGCCAAATCAAGAGCGAACTGCCATTCGCAATTGCTACAAAAAGAATAAAATACCTTGGAATACAACTCACAAGGAACGTAAGGGACCTCTTCAAGGAGAACTACAAACCACTGCTCAACGAAATCAGAGAGGACACAAACAGATGGAGAAACATTCCATGTTCATGGTTAGGAAGAATTAATATCGTGAAAATGGCTATACTGCCCAAAGTAATTTACAGAATCAACGCTATCCCCATCAAGCTACCATTGACTTTCTTCACAGAACTGGAAAAAACCACCATGAACTTCATATGGAACCAAAAGAGAGCCCGCATAGCCAAGTCAATTCTAAGCAAAAAGAACACAGCGGGGGGCATCACACTACCGGATTTCAAACTATACTACAAGGCTACAGTAATCAAAACAGCATGGTACTGGTACCAAAACAGAGATATAGACCAATGGAACAAAACAGAGGCACCGGAGGCAACACAACATACATACAACTATACAATCTTTGATAAACCTGACAAAAACAAGCAATGGGGCAAGGATTCCATGTTTAACAAATGGGGTTGGGAAAACTGGCTAGCCATGTGCAGAAAGCAGAAACTGGACCCCTTCCTGACACCTTACACTAAAATTAACTCCAGATGGATTAAAGACTTAAACATAAGACCTGGCACCATAAAAACCCTAGAAGGAAATCTAGGCAAAACTATCCAGGACATAGGAGTAGGCAAGGACTTCATGAACAAAACACCAAAAGCATTGGCAACAAAAGCCAAAATAGACAAATGGGACCTAATGAAACTCCACAGCTTCTGCACGGCAAAAGAAACAGTCACTAGAGTGGATCGGCAACCAACAGAATGGGAAAAAATTTTCGCAGTCTACCCATCTGACAAAGGGCTGATATCCAGAATTTACAAAGAACTCAAGCAGATTCACAGGAAAAAAACAAACAAGCCCATTCAAAAGTGGGCAAAGGATATGAACAGATACTTTACAAAAGAAGACATATATGAGGCCAACAATCATATGAAAAAATGCTCATCGTCACTGGTCATCAGAGAGATGCAAATCAAAACCACATTGAGATACCATCTCACGCCAGTTAGAATGGCGATCATTAAAAAATCTGGAGACAACAGATGCTGGAGAGGATGTGGAGAAAAAGGAACACTTTTACACTGTTGGTGGGAGTGTAAATTAGTTCAACCATTGTGGAAGACAGTGCGGCGATTCCTCAAGGCCTTAGAAATAGAAATTCCATTTGACCCAGCAATCCCATTACTGGGTATATACCCAAAAGACTATAAATCGTTCTACTATAAGGACACATGTACACGAATGTTCATTGCAGCACTGTTTACAATAGCAAAGACCTGGAATCAACCCAAATGCCCATTGATAATAGACTGGATTGGAAAAATGTGGCACATATACACCATGGAATATTATGCAGCAATCAGAAATGATGAGTTCCTGTCGTTTGTAGGGACATGGATGAATCTGGAGAACATTATCCTCAGCAAACTGACACAAGAACAGAAAATGAAACACCGCATATTCTCACTCATAGGTGGGTGATGAAAAATGAGAACACATGGACACAGAAAGGGGAGTACTAAACACTGGGGTCTATTGGGGGAAAAAGGGGAGGGCCAGTGGGAGGGGGAGGTGGGGAGGGATAGCCTGGGGAGAAATGCCAAATGTGGGTGAAGGGGAGAAGAAAAGCAAAGCACACTGCCATGTGTGTACCTACGCAACTGTCTCACATGCTCTGCTCATGTACCCCAAAACCTATAATCAAATAAAAAATTAAAAAAAAAAAAAAAAAAAAAAGTTATGTGGGCATTGGTGGCATGTGCCTGGAGTCCCAGCTACTAGGGAGGCTGAGGCAGAATTGCTTGAACCCAGGAGATGGAGGTTGCAGTGAGCTGAGATCACTCCACTGTACTCCAGCCTGGTGACAGAGCAAGACTTCATCTCAAAAAAAAAGGGGGGCCAGGCATCATGGCTCACACCTGTAATCCCAGTACTTTGGGAGGTTGAGGCGGGTGAATCACAAGGTCCAAAGTTTGAGACGAGCCTGACCAATGTGGTGAAACCTCATCTCTACTAAAAATACAAAAATTAGCCAGGCGTAGTGGTGCACACCTGTAATGCCAGCTACTCAGGAGACTGGGGCAGGAGAATCACTTGAACCTGGGAGGCAGAAGTTGCAGTGAGCCAAGATTGCATCACTGCACTCCAGCCTGGGTGACAGAGCGAGATTCTGTCTCAAAAAAAAAAAAAAAAAAAGTTACACTTGAAGAAATTCTGACTGATGTATACTTCATGGTTCTATTCTTCTTGTCAAAATGATACAAGAGGCTCAACATATTCATTTACCTAAGAAATTACTGCTTCATAGACATGCCTACAGGAAACTAACAGAAACGCAAAAGTAGGAGGATTACATGAATAAATATAGGTAGACCATTCAAATTTAATGTTATAAGAATGAATAGAATATTGGTAATTTTAAATCCCTAAAACTTTTAGAATATATACAAGATGGATTTAGTAAAACAAGTTCACAGGGAATTATGTTAATGCTTTTATCAGTGCCACCCCCAAAATGAAATTGAGCATAACACATTAGTACTCCATAGGAGGAAGGTTGCCAATCCCATGGAAAATGGGAATTGAATCAAAGTAATGTTTACAGAAATATTCCACTTAAAAAGATAAAATTCAATGTCAAAAAGGTAAAGGAAATAAATTTAATAATATAATTACAAGAACAAATAACAGAGAATAAAATAAGATTACCAAACAGAATACAGACTAGAAGAGTCACAGTAATTCACAATCTGAAAATGAATCAGTTGAATAATGTCATTTGAAACATAATCATTATGTTCTAATAATATATTACCTGCAAGATGAAATACAATCTTTCTGTCCTATAAGAAATGGTCAGACACTTGACATCAGAATGTCTCAGAGTGTCTTACACTGATTAGCACAGTGCTAATAGCTGTTATCATTTTCAAAAAGCATACCAATCATAAAAAGAGGTGGGAAAAAGTATATAAGCAGCATATAAAGGAGAAATGAAGAATGAGGCTAAAACTTAAGTCTTTGGTTTATGGGCTGATCTTTGTGCTAGAGAGGCACTTGATTTATGTGTATATGTATAATCCACATGAGTGCTTTTTTTTTTTTTTTTTGACACAGAGTTTCACTCCTGTTACCCAGGCTGGAGTGCAATGGGGCAATCTCAACTCACCACAACTGCTGCCTCCCAGGTTCAAGCAATTCTTCTCAGCCTCCCGAGTATCTGGGATTACAGACATGCGCCATCACACCCAGCTAATTTTGTATTTTTAGTAGAGACGGGGTTTCTCCATGTTGGTCAGGCTGGTCTTGAACTCCTGACCTCAGGTGATCCGCCCACCTCAGCCTCCCAAAATTCTGGGATTATAGGCGTGAGCCACTGCAACCAGCCTGAGCGATTTTTTTTTTAACTTCATTTAATCCTAATAACTACCCAGCAAAAAATTATTATATCCTCTGACATTCAGAGTGGGATTAAGTATCTTGTCCAATCTTCTATGACTCCGAGTGGCAGAGTTGGATATAAACAAGCCTGCCTGACTCTTAGATCAATTAAGAAAGTATATACTTTTCCCATCTCCAGAAGACATAATTCTTAAATTGCATTAGAAAAACTTAGTTTGATATAAAGAAAAAATAACAGAAGTTTCCTCCAGAAATTTGTCAAATCCAAGTTGATATGGCATAAAACAAAAATAATCTTCAATGTTTCTAATGTTTTCAGCATTCATCTATATTTTAGACAAGTCTAGGGGAAGTCCCAAATAACCTTAACCATCCTTGCTAGGATTATGCTTTTATAATTCCAGGTGACCAACAGTAGAATTTACGCTTAAAATGAATAGTTTTAAGAAGAATCAATAAGACTAGAGAACAGTTGTACAAGAATCCCAATCTAACTTTAAAAATATAAATAGGTATCATAACAGTATAAATCACTGTCAATCTACAGAAGAGAGGATTAAGGGTAGAGTAAGGAACTAATGAAAGGCCAAAAAAAGGAGAAAGCAAGTCCCACTTTATTCCACTTTTGGTGGTTTGCTATAAAGCTTTTCCTTCTACCACCAACCTTTATGAAAATTATTAATAAAATTCCAAAAATAAAATCCTGTAACATTTTAATTAGAAATAAAGCGGAGACACCACACAGCAAAAAAAATCACTGACTACACAACAGACTATAGGACATACCTGAGATACATCATCAAGCTGAGGTTTCCCATAAAGACCAGAGATACTTTCTGCCCGCATGAGATACTCAGCTGTTCTTCTCTTCACAGCTTCTCGACGAGTAGGGCTTGACTCTCCTTAAAAAAAAAAAAAAAAAAAAAAAGGTCTGGGCATGTGAAAAATACACTTTCTTCAATACATTCTGAAAATTAACTTCCTTCTACCCAATACACTGCTTATTCACATTCCTAACTGAAAAGAAGAGATATTCAAAATTGGAAAAGCCATGCAAGTTAACATCAACCAAGTCTAAATATTACCCAATTAATCTCAGGTATCCGAATTCTAACATTCTCCTATTTAAATATGTATTGATAATTTGATGTATTTTAGTAGGAGTAAAATGTATAAGAAATGTGTATTTGTAAAAAGCCCTGAAGACAAAAAGTCTAGTCACAGTCCAGACATGATACAGCTAAGCAACTCAACAAATAGGACCAAATGCAACAGATGTTTGTGTGTGTGTGTGTGTGTGTGTGTGTGTGTGTGTGTGTGTTCAACCTTGGTTTTTCTCAAAAAAACAAATCCTTCAAAATAATGTTTCCTGGTTTGCTGAATTGAAGAGAACTGACTTATAATAAAGAAGATAATTTCCCTCAAGACCACTAGTAGAACCTTCTTCTTATTTCTGCCTGGAACAGCATCTTCTGCTTCTGGGAAATGTCCCTTTCTTCTTCCCATCATACCCTTCTACCCCTTCTCCCCATCACTAACCAGGTGGTTTAAATGAAAGCTGCTTTCTTGCTTCAGATGTCAGTCCCTCTAATCACCAATGTCCATTAGCCGATGGTGGGCCCCCCTAGTCACGAGCTGAGCCAATCACAGAACCCTATCCTCCTGGCCACAGTTGAAGAAGGGAGGAATTGTCACAACACAAACTGGACCTTCTCTGTTATTCAAGCTGTAAATAAGAGGAGTAGAAACTGCCAACATCTGGTTTCTGACAATGCAAAAAAAAAAAAAAAAAAAGTCAATCTGAAAGAATGACCTTGACACAGAAAGTAGATATGGGAGACTTAAAAAAAAAAATAGGAGGAAATTCCAGTGTTTTCAGGTGAACCTACATTCCTCTAGTGTAAATGGCATCCCTGATGTCAGGTGAAGCTATATTCCTGCCCTTCTTTCCCTGAGATAGTTCAAATTCAGATTTTGGCACATAAAAAACAAAGACTTCCGACTAAATACAGACCTCAACGAAAAGCTGCAACAAAGTCGGGACTGCAATTTTGCTAAATAACTCTCCTTCCACAGCTTGATATTACTATTTCATCTCTTCTCTACTCCATGAGGAATTCACAAATATAACATCTTGGTGTGGAAAACAATTCTATTGCTTTTTAATTGTGGAACCATGTACATTTATTAATTCTCCAACTGCTCAACCCGCAAGTAAAATGTCAGTGTACTTCTGCCTCTACTCTTACAATTTACTTCCTAAATGCAAGGTTTTAGAAGACCTTTCTACTCAGTTGAAAAATGAGTATATTCTATGAAAATCACTTAAATAACTAAACATACCTTGAGGATAAAACATGCCACATAAATAACAGCTATTCACTATTTCTACACAATACTAGTCCTTTGGTTTAGAGTTTACTGTGTCTGGAGTCTGCTATTTCCATTTTCACTAGCTCTTCTAATTTCAGATTATGCCTTCCAAGTCCTAATTTAAATCCCCCTTTTAATTCAGTGTGTTTAAGCTTTAATAAAGTTTCAAAATTTGCTTTGTTAAAGAAAATCATCTCACAAAATAATCTGGAATTCGAAAATGTCAAGATATGAAACACCTTTAACTAGCCATATTTTGTAATCTAATTATTATTTTTTAGACTTGGTTTTTCTGCAACTTTCTAGGCAGTCTACACAGTAACAGAGAAATAAGAACCAGAAGTCAGAAGTTGAAATGGACTCCTGCTGAGTATGATGGCTCCACTTCCAAGGCAACTAACAATGAAGTGATGGAAATACTGAAAGGCTTTTTAAATGCAACCTTATATATAGGCCAAGTGTGGTGGCTCACACCTATGATCCCAACACTTTGGGAGGCCGAGACAGGTGGATTACCTGAGGTCAGGAGTTTGAGACCAGCCTGGCCAATGTGGTGAAACCCCATCTCACCTAAAGATACAAAATTAGTCAGGTGTGGTGCCAGGCATGTGTAATCCTAGCTACTCACGAGGCTGAGGCAGGAGAATCATTTGAACCCGGGAGGCAGATGTTGCAGTGAGCTGAGATTGTACCACTGCACTCCAGCCTGGACAACAGAGCAAGACTCTGTCTCAAAAAAAAAAAAAAAAACCAATAACCTTACACATCAATACTATGGTTCCTTCCATATCAGTCCCTTAAAAGGAAGTTACAATCACCGCTGATCAATAGCAGCATCCAAAAATAAAAACTATGTCTTGAAGATTTCTGCTCCTGGATGCTTATTCAGGTTTGTCAGTACCAGGGGAAAAAAGAAAAAAAAGATGATTCTATAGATTTCCAGGATATTTCTAGCTAGTCAAATTATTGACAAATGTGACTTTAAACAGATTTTAATAGACTAAAAGTGTTTAATTAACTAACCTGCTTGATTTCTTGTTCTCCATTTTAAAATACACACAGACAGTCCACAATGATTATCTGTTAATCATTCATCTAGAGCAAGAATTTTCATTGGGCTTAGACATTCAAAAAAGAAAAATTAGGCTGGGCACAGTGGCTTACTCCTATAATCCCACCACTTTGGGAGGCCAAGGTGAGAGAACTGCTTGATCCCAAGAGTCCAACATCAGCCTGGGCAACATGGGAAAGACCCCATGTTTGTCTCTACTGAAAATACAAAAATCAGCCAGGCATGTTGGCATGCACCTGTGGTTCCAGCTACTTGGGAGGCTGAGGCAGGAGGATCACTTAAACCCAGGAAATGATGCATGCAGTGAACCATGTTCATGCCACTGCATAAACCACTGTGCTCCAGCCTGGGGAACAGAGCAAGACTCTATCTTTAAAGAAAAAAGGAAAGAAAAACTGTTCCCATTATTCAATAACCTTTATTTTAAAAGTTCTGGTGTACCATAAAAGATGTCTTAATGTGGACTGAGACAACCTGTGTTTCTTCACCTTCTCAATTTCTGATCAGGAGGGAGGAAAGATACCGGATGATTAGTGTGATCTCTGATAGGGAATATCTGAGTAGATATAAGGAGAAAATCCAAAGTTGTTGATGAAATTTACAGAAACACTCAACTACCCATCCTGTGTTTCTCAGGGCACCATCTCTGACTTCAGTCACTAAGAAAAGTTTTATAAGAAGGCATGGTATACAGATAATGGAATCCAGAAATTCTAACTTATCCAAGGAGCCAGCACCATTTGGTACCCTTCATTATATCATATTCTATTTATAAGAAATATATTTCATGGCCAGGCGTGGTGGCTCATGCCTGTAATCCCAGAACTTTGGGAGGCCGAGGCAGGTGGATCATGAGGTCAAGAAATCGAGACCATCCTGGCCAACATGGTGAAACCCTGTCTCTACCAAAAATACAAAAATTAGCTGGGTGTGGTGGTGTGCGCCTATAGTCCCAGCTTCTCAGGAGGCTAAGGCAGGAGAATCGCTTGAACCTGGGAAGCAGAGGTTGCAGTGAGCCAAGATCATGTCACTGCACTCAAGTGCATGCCACTGCACTCGGTCTCAAAAAAAAAAAAAAAGAGAAAAAGAAATCTATTTCCTCTCTTTCATAAGTAAGAAAATTAAGTTTCAGGAATGTGAAATGTCTTTCTCAGTTACACAGTTACTATAAGAGCCTGAACCTAAACCATGTCTTAGACTATACTTCAGGGTACTTGCCACTATCCTAAGCTACCTTTTAATACAAAGTATCATAACAGAATTTGAATTTGATTATTTTACTGTTTCTGAGTAGAACAAGAAAAATACAGAGCGCAGGAGAAGTACAGGTGAGTATGGAAACAAAGATACAGAGCAACAAACCTAGGAATCTGAGGAAGGTGCCTGTCAGGCAACAAAGCAGAGCAGAATCAGAATGGAAAGACAACAGACACAAATACAGGAAAACTGCAGCGACAAAGAGGCATATGTCACACCACGTAGAAGAGAACAAGCCTTTCTGAGAAAAACTGGTCTCTTGAACATCCTCATTACTCAAAGATTTATTTGAAAAACAATGACCTTTCCTCATTTACCCATTAAAAAAAAAAATCTGGCTGGGCACAGTGGCTCATGCCTGTAATCCCAACACTTTGGGAGGCCAAGGCAGGTGGATTACCTGAGGTCAGGAGTTTGACACCAGCCTGGCCAACCTAACGAAACCCATCTCTACTAAAAATAAAAATATTAGCCAGGCTATAATTATAGTGCCTGTAATCCCAGCTACTCGGGAGGCTGAGGCAGGAGAATTGCACTCCAGCCTATACAACAAGAGCAAAAGTCCACCTAAAACAAATAAAAAAATAATGAAAAATAAAAATCAAGAGGCATTTTTACTCATGGAACTCATAAATTCAGTTTTGCAACCTAGAATAAAAAATAGTTCTTCCAATTCTACCCTTTCTCACTAAGAAGAATATAACTAATAGCTTCATCATTTGTTCAACGAGAGAAAAGTCGTGCTAGAGGAAGAACAAGCCAATTGAAATATCTGGAAAGACAGTGTGTCTATATCTATGTTTCATAGGAAATTTTAAGGGTTATTAAGAGTATTTTGACTCTGTTTGATTTTTGCCACAAGCACAGAACTTAATTCCCACATGAGACTCTAGTTAGTCACATTTTATTATATTCTTATCTTTATTTCTCTACACTACAAATACCCTCCCAGTGGGCTCTATACCACTGTGCTTAGTCAAGCATGCTTGATTTCATTCAGATTTATCACATTAGAAAGAACATCCAAATCAAACTGGGTTTGAGTTTTTGCCTGTTGCTGTTTTTTGCTTTTTTTTTTTTTTTTTAACAACTTTAGTCACATAAAAGAAAACTCACATTTGAGATGGCCTTGGTAGTTTTTTTTTAAGAGCTGATTTATTATGTTTAATGGTGTTTTGTTCTTTTCAGGTACAGCCTACC